AAATCATCTCAGCCCAGCATCCACATTTATAGGGGGAGACAAGGGGAGACAAAGGGCGGGACTCATCTTGGCCCAGCATCGTTTCTATGCAAGAATTGAGATCCCCTCACAGCAAAGCTGCTTGGGGAAAATTGTGTGGGCAAAACAGGTAGACGCAAAGCAGTTTGACCATCTCAAAGCCTCCCAAACCTCCAACGTGTCGCAAGAGTAAAAGGTTCAAGTTGAAAGCTCAAAGTCTGCGTGACTGCAGTGAGCCAACCAAGCCCCAACCTTGCCTTCCGCCAACGGAGTGCTCTTGCATCTGCAACATTCACATAGCAGCTTCTCCGAACCAAAGCATGGGAAGGGTGAGGCCGTCCCTTCCAGGCAGGCGCTGGCTCAAAAGGACCCCAGTCGCAGTTGCAGCTCTTAAGCCACTCCAGGGCCTGGCCCAGCACCTCTCACAACGCACGTGGCTGGAGCGCAAGCAGCATCATTGGTGACTCCTTTCAGTGACCGGGGCGTTCACCATGTCATCCAGGAGGGCTTTGAGCTGCTTCGCCGGCTGGCCAGCACAAGCGGCGTTCGACCTGTGGAGGATCTCTTCATGGATGCTGCACGCTTTGATGCATGTGGTGCAGCTTTTACATTTGACGCCATTGTTGCGCCAATCCCATTGATGCCCAGCAGGGGACGATTGTTGAACAAGAGCTCTAAACACATCAGCACGCCCTCGACCCCGCTCACGGCCTCTTGCACCAAGCTGAACTGTCGGAGGGGCATCAGCCGCATTCATGTAGTGGTCCTTGTCCTCCAAATACTGGGACAGGGCTTTGGCCAGGTCAGGGTTGGCCTTAATATGCTTCACAGCCACGTGACAGGTCCGGAGCCTCTGCCAGTCTTCTGGGCCCAAATTGCGCCAAAGATGGCTTCAGCCCTGCCCTTCTTCTCCAAGGCCTGCCAAGCCGCTTTGAAAGGCAGGTTGATCTGCACTGTGTGAGTGAAGGCTTTGAGGATGACCCAACATCCTGTGATCCATGCCCTTGTCATCGTGGGCTGCCCCGGCATCACACAGGTCACTGAGCCATTGACCAACCATTGTTCCCACCAAGACCGCAACAACGTAGCGACGGACAAGAGGTTCATTGCAGGTGGGCCAGACAGCCAGCCAAACACGTTGTGAATGGTGTAGTCTGAGCGGCCAGCCTTCATTGAGCAGGACAGTGCACTGGAAGGAATCCGGCCCTTCATCTGTCTTCAGTCTCGGGAGCTGGATGATCCCCCTAGCCCATAGCTCTAGGGAGGTGCCATTCTCAATCTGGAGGTTCCAAGGCAATGGATCATCTTTGTCATTGAAGCACCGGCAGCGCCAAATCAGGTGCACCACAGTCAAAGGTTCATCGCAAAGCGAACATCTCACCTGAGCCCCTTGTGAGTGGGTCCTCGACGCTCCTTGAGTCTTCAAGCCGTGGCTTCGGCCTTGCCACCCTCCTGCAGGCATTTGCGATGGATGCTCCAGTCCAAAGGGCCAGCAGCTTCATCACAAAAGGTCTGATGCCTAAGGCGCTCCAGCTGTTGAAGTTTCATCTCTTTCCTGACAACCCTGGCAAGAACTGGCCAAGCATGTTCCAAGCGCAGCGTGGTAGGAGGAAGGACCTTGATGCGCCTTCCGCGCACTGAAGTTGGCAAAGCGACGGGCAAACGCACGGTGAGCTTGCTTCTGGATCTGCAGAACTTCTATGATCATGTGGACCTGGAGACCCCGTTGGATCAATGGGAGGCACTCAACTTTCCGCCAGCTGTCATGAACATGGTCATGGAGCGCTACACTGGCTTGAGGACCCTTCAGGGAGGCAGCCCGGCCGCGCGGCCACCGCGTTGATATATAGCTTGTATTAGCGCCGGTCACGCAGACCTTCACCCCCAGGGTTCTTGTCATGTTTGGGTGGACGACATCAGTATGCTTTGTGGGCCCAGATGCATCCACCGTTGCCGATGAAGCCTTGGCCGGGTACACCAGCATTGAATACTTGCTGGAGGGCGCGGGCCTCAACATCAGCCTGAACAAGACCGGGTACCTGGCTTCGTCAGCGGCGGCGCGCAAATGCCTGTTGAGATCTGATGGCCACCCACAAGTCGAGGACCTGATGAAGGATCTTGGCCTCGACTCATCAGGGGCACGAAGGAGAAGGGTCACCACGGTGAAAAAGAGCATCATGAATCAGGGAAACAAGAGATTCCAAAAAATGCAACAGTTGGGCATTCGGAACAGGCCAGTCAAGGTTCGGCTCTGGAAGGGTGGGAACGAAGCCCAGGCCTAGCTCCTCAAAGGCTACAACCTCTGCGGCTTCAGCTTGAGCGCACTGCTGGCCTTCAAAAGAGCGGATCGGTGGAGACGCTGTATGATCAGCATGAGGACATGAGGACTTGATCGATCCTCGGGGGCCAGCTGTGGAACGGCAGTTGCAGGCTCAATGCGGCCGCCTGGGCAACTTCATGAACTGGAGCATGCATGGACTGCGTGGAGGAAGCTCAGCCAAGCGGCAAATGGTGGCAGGTCCCATGGCGGCGCTCCGAGAGTATTCAAGGACATGGGATGGGATTGCCAACAAGCTCTCAAGTCCCACGGCAGCTTCTCCTGGCTGGTGGTCTGCCATTCCCGAATTGCGTGCCAGCGCAATTTGAACCACCCCTGTAAAGCACAGAAGTCTCTCGATGGGCGGTTTCTTAGGCAAAAGGACAATGAGGGAGGCGCAGAGTTGTTGAGGCAAGGCTCCTCTAGCTCCCATTGCCGCATCTGCCTAAGAAGCTCTTCAACCGCCTCAATCGGTAGCTTCCGCAACATGGCATAGGGGGCAGCTCTGGGGGCCACACGCACTGCTTTCGTGAAAAAGAACCTCGTATTTCCTGCACTCCTTTGACGTGGATGGCAATGGCTTCCATGCTTCAGTGCTTCAGTGCTTCAGACAGAGAGAGAGAGAGAGAGTTTTGAAGTGGCGGTCATTAGCCTCTACTTGCGCACGGGAGAGGAATTGAGTTCCAGCACCAATGCCAAAATCCTTGGAGAAGTTGCAGCCATGGCCAAAGACCTTGCCATTCCTTGGCCGTTGGTGGCTGACTTCAACTGTGACGTGATGAAAGGGGAGGTCATTGCAGCCCATGAGGCCACGATCCTCAATCGGGAGACTTAGCTCCCTTCATCACCATTGCTGCAGATTGGAGCGCCCCTTGCGGCCACATGCTCTGCTGAGGTTGGTCATCTCCAAAGAGGCCTCTACACTATGCCTTCCTCAGCTTCAAGCCTACAAGCCCATTCCGCTCCCGGACCAGCTGCAGGAGCTGAGTTTGATGCTGCCTCTCAGGCTCTGGCTTCTTTCTGTCACAAGACGGAGCAAAATTGTTTGCAAGGCTTGGATGCTCCTATGATGCCGAGGATGGTACTTGGCGATCCAGTCCAAGCCCCTTCCTCGTGGGCAAACCTTTGGACCTTGGAGGAACGGAGATTTGGCGTGGTGGAGCCAACTTGGGGCCATTCTCAAAGCCATCAACACGGGAGGAAGTGTTTCAGCCAAGCTTGAACGTCTGCTCAGAGCCTGGATGTGTCCTACAGGCAATTGCCACCAGAAGGTCAGAAAGCATCCAGGAGAAGCTTCAGGCAGTTGCTGAAGGCAACAATGTTGATGGTTGAAGAATGTCTGCACAATGTTGATGGCACGGCTCAGGCCTATGCGGAGTGGATGACACAGGCCAAGGGCAAGGGCTGAGGGGATTGTACAGAACCTTGTGCAACCAGGACGTCTCCTTTGAGCGGCCCTTTCGAGATGTACACTCCAGAATTGCGAAGGTTGTACTCATCAGTAGCTTTTTCTGAACCCACAACCTTTGCTCCTGGGCAGGGCAGGTGCTGATCCAGCAAGTGGCCGAATCAGCTCCACAATCTCGCCAAAAGTGGTGTCCACTTGATCGGTTTGGTCCATTCCCCTGGACGGTCTCTTCCCCCCTCCTTTGAGAGGCACATAATGCCCATGGCCAGCTTCACAGCAGGTCCCGCGGATAGCAGTCTCCTCAAGGAGCTGCTCGGCATATTCAAGCTCGGTGCCTGCTGTTCACTGTCCACGGCATCAGCGGATGAAATAGCATCACCTCCAATCCAAGCACCGGAAAGCAGAGAAGCAGTGAGAAGCGAGGAAAAGCAACACACGCACAGAAAAGCAGAGAAGCAGTGAGAAGCAGGGAAAAGCGGAAGAAAAATAAACAACTACAGTATTCCAAAATCAAATACCCCTCCAAATGAAAGTCACGGACGCAGGTACGTCACTGGACGTCTGCAGTGATATTAAGTGGAGCTCTGCAGGCCTGCTCCACCCCCCTGCTAAAAGACCGAAAGGCCCCCTCTGAGTCCAAGGGTTTCACACTCTCTCTCTCTCTCTCACGCAGCTCTCCAGGCCCGCTTTTCTGCATGCATCTTGAACCCTTGAATCCCTAAAAAACACAGCCAAGTGCTATGGAACGATGCCCGAGTCATACGGAACCAGTTGACCTCAGGCGGTTCTCTGCTTGACACATGACATGGGAAGCTGTCGGCTAAAAAGGTGAAGCTGTTTGTGAAACAACTGTGAGAGTCTTGCAAAGCTTCGAACTTCAGAGGAGATCTTGCTGGTTCAGTGCAATCATCCCGTCAACCTTTTTCCAAAACCAGGCAGTCTCTCAGCTTTGCCCACCCACATTAAAGTGCAAAAACACGATTGGATTAGTGTTAAGTTGCTTGGACCAATGCACCAAGTAATCACAGATCATATTACTTTATAACCTGCACTCATGGAAAAGTAACATCCTACGAAAATGCTAGAGCAGGGTAGAGTATGTTATCTTTAGTGGGGACGCGCAACGCAAAGAATGAGTTAACGGCTGAGCTCACAGGAAGGTTCCAAAGCTTTGTACCTGCAAAGGCGGAGGGTGAACATGAAAATAGTGTGATCAATAGTGTGATAGACCAATCAAACTGCATCTGCTGCTTGGACTTTCAACTGCAACAAATTGCGAGGCAGGTGGGTTATTCCTGATGCCGTCGCAGCTGCCATTCACAGAATGCGTGCTGCCCTCGGCCAAAACTGTGTCAGGGTATGCCGCATGCCTGAGCCTTATGACATTCAAGCAAGTGTTACTTTAGAGAAATATGCTAGCAGCTAGCAGCAGTTCAACTGCATTGGCACCCCCGAGATTGCTCTGGAAGATTCAGCAACCTACACAAAAAGCTACGAAAGCAGCAACCCTTGGATGCCGATGCCGAGATTGATAAAAACTTGGCTTTGACGGCTTTGATTCAAGAGATGCAATGAAACTGACCACCTTGGAGTTACAAGGTGATGCTATGGATACGGTGAATGACCTCAAATGAATGGCGAGACCTTCTTGACCACACCTCGACCCTGAGTCCAATGGTAGAAGGTGGTGTAGCCAAGGTGGAAGGGAAGCCAAGCGAATTGCAAGAACTTGCCCAGCAACTTGTGGGCGTCAATGGACTGCTTCGCCAGCCTGTCATTCCTCTTGTCATCTTCCGCATTTCCAGTCTTGTCAGAGCCCGGAGCCCACTTCAAGAAGTATTCGTTGGCAATGCCGGACACAGGCAACAAGAGAGCAAGGACATAGAAGGCACGAAGGCTCTGTGTCTCCAGCATTTGGACCATGGGATTTCCTGGGAAGCGGGGAGGAATGCCGCTCTGCATACGAAGGAAGAAGCGCACAACAAGGGCAAAGAGCATCGCCAGGCCGGTCTGCTTGTGCCACCACAGCATCTGTTTCCTGGTCTGCCCTTCTGAGTAGGAGGCGGCCTGAGCTGTTCCAACTGCTCCAAAGATTCCCACGGCCATGATGAGATGCAAGTGTCGCAATGCTCGGCTGTAGGTGAACTGTGACAAAGGCTTGGTGTTTTGCAAGGTCTTGTAGAGATACCATGCTACAGCCCCGACCGCAATATCTGTGGCCTTGTACTTCATGTATCGGCCCACCTCAGATGTCTCCTCGCCAACCACCTGAGCAACTGTGGCCTCCGCTGACCAGTCGGTGTTCTCTCCTGGCACCAATTGACCAACCAACATGTCCCGGTCACGCTGCACCCGAGCCTTCTCCGAATGCTCGAAGACCTCAAAGTCCTTGGTTGCATCTGTACCAGCTTTGTTCAACAAAATGTCGTCACCTCCTGGATGGCTTCCGATCAAAGGCTTCAAGTTGTAGACACGGTTGTGGATGATCATGTACGGCTCATCTGCGGTGGTGTGCTTCGCAACTTCTGCACGAGTGAAGAAAGGAAGCTCCTTCCCAGCTGAGATTTCTGCAAGCTTTGGAAAGCGAGCCTCCTCAGAGAGGGTTGGTGCATCTGTCTTACCTGGGACCTTCACTGCTGTCTTTGCTGCTTCAATGTCCTCCTTGGAGGGGCCCTCAAGCCTGCGCAACTCATCATGCAGCTGCTTCAGTTGCTCGTAGACAGCGTCCCTTTTTGGCTCAGCACCGACATCGCCCATCTTCCATTCGCTTCGCATGAAGAAATCCATCCACTGCTTGCTAGGGAAACGTCCAGGGATCTTGTCCCACATCGCAGTCGCATCTCTGCCAGCCCAAGCGAGGATGGAATTGCGCTGTTCGGGATGATGGATCAGGAAATCCGTGAGGTCATAGACATTCTTGTTGATCGCAATCCAGCAATCATGAGGCTTGTTGTGACGAGCCACCTCTGACAATGGAATGCCACCGCTGG